ATTTTTATGTATTACTGTCATAATTTCTTCCATTATTATAGGATCTACTCCATATTATACTACCATTTGATGCATTTTATTTTAGAATTATCGTATCAATTGATGAGGCGGAAGTAGTATAAGCAGAAAAGCCTGTGTAAACATAATTATCATCTTGATCATAAACAATCTACCCAGGAACAAAGTAGGATGTTGTTGGTGTTGCAATAGATTACACTAAAGTCATGAAGTTTGTGGTTAAATTTGAGTTATCGTCATTAATCATCAGGTTTCCCATGCTTTGATAATTTGTATTATAAAAGAATTTGCACTGGAATAGAATCTATGTATTTTTCCAAGGATTCATCATCATATCGCTAATTCTTTCGATAACTAATGGTATTAAGGGATTTATTGGATTAATTAATTTAAGTTTTTTAGCCCAATTTAGTTTACCATCACTGTAATCTAACCTTACTATAGACTGTGACCTACTACTAGATGTATTGCTATTAGATGTTAGATATGAGTAAACTTTTTCTAGAACTAATGCTACTGTTGTAGAGATAAAAGTGCCTCCAGTTTAGAATGATAATTAAGTATACCATTCTACCCACCCTGTCTCAGACAATCTCATTACAAAGGCGTCGTCAGCTCCATCATCATTAACTCCATGATAATTTAACTCCCCTGCTATGCCACAAACCAAAAGATTACTATCCTCAATATTAACAGCGGTACTTGATAAATACATTTCGCAACCTGTTTCACAAAAGTATTACCCATAACTCATTGGAAAAGGATTCTAAAAACAATAGCTAAGATTAGAATTAGATAGCTTCAAATCAGTTTAATTAATGATTCTAATAAGCATTGGATGATCAATAGAATTTGATCCTATGCCAAATCTATAATCATAGTAGTTGACGTTAATGTAGAAATCGATATAATAACTAGGAGTAGTACTAATTTTTACAGAACTAGAGTTAATCGCAGTAGCATGAGGCTATTTAAATGCTTGAGTATTAGAGAATGGATCTCTTATTTATACTCCGAATTCACGAGATTAGCAATTTAGAATAGGAGAAGGATGATTTATTATTTAGTCTTGGCCTTTCACTACATCAACTTATGATATAAATCTGTAATCATATACCAAATCAATTTAATTGCAAAACTAGT